GATTATATAAAAAACATTTTTCTATTAAATTATTTTAAATTTTAATAATTTTGATCTCAAAAAAAATTTCATAATAAAATATTGTTAGTTTAACTCATAAAAAATTAATAAAACATTAAAATTTTTGTTTGAAAACCCAAAAATACCAAATTAGATAGTTAAGATTTGAACCACTATCGAATAACCCATAAATAAGCAAGAAGCACAACTCCACTACCAAATAAACCATAAATAAGCAAGAAGCACAACTCCACTAATATCTTACTGATGGTTATTAGTCAAATTATAACATAAAAATCTATAAAACCTTTTAAATTTATAAAATCTTGATTTTATTCAATTTTACAATTTTATTATGATTTTACTGTTTCAAATTTATGAAATCTTGATTTTGACTTTAATTTTACATATATTTCATGATTTTATGATTTTACACGTGATTTTGACAACCAAGCCATCCTCTTGCCTTGCTTGTACACATGCTGCAATTTGCAAAACTGGAATAACCTCATGAAATCCTTGCAACACAATAGAATTGATAAAATTAGCAACTACAAGAAAAATAATAGTTCCCAAACATAGACATAAGGACCTTTTTGTTTTGTTTTTGTTTTTTTAATCTTAAACTGCTTATTGATATGTCTTAGAAACTCCATCAACAAAAACTTGTTCGTCAATTAAGAGATCACTGTTTCCAGAATTAATCTCAAGCTCAACTAATTCTTTCGAGTTAATAGGCCAAATAACATATGTCGATCCATTCCACAGCAACTCAATTAATTGAATGTTAGAGGCTTCAGTAGGATGGGCCAAATCAAAGTACACATATTCACTGGGATCACTGCAAACTTCATATGCTGACGTTAAACTGCCACAAGTAGAGCTTCCTCGGTTTGGTCCACTGCCGCAACATGCTACATCCCCTTCCTTGAAACCTTTACAATGACATTTCAAAAATTGTCAATATACCAAAAAAAAAGGAACTTTAAGTGCTGAATGAAAATTACAACACAGGGCAGTATTACATACCATATTTTGTTGGGTTTTGTATCCTATCCATTACTACATTGAAGAAATCAAATATTAAATAATTGAATCCCGGTAACTTTCTTGCTAAGTCCTCAGCAGCAATATTTAGAGCATTATTGTGCAAGCTGGCTATAATTTGGGAGTGATTCCACACAGTCAGAAGTTTTGTAGGACTGTTTAGATCCTGGCGGACATCCAAGTGGTGCTACATTTTGAAATGCGAATTTCCTTCCACCTATTTCATATATTTCCTGCTTGTAAAAAATAAAAAAATAAAAAAATAAGTGAAAAATGCGAGGAAAAGGAAAATATAAATATATTTAAAAAAAATTTCCGGTGCATGTACCTTTACACTGCATCTGTTATGTTACCAATCACAATCTTTACGTAATCTTGTATCATTGATTCTGTAACATAAACGGCAGTAGAGATCAAGGAAGATAAATCAACTCCTCCAATGCTGGAGTAATAGATGGTTGATCCTTGTAACATTAACTCTTTGGCATCTGCTTCACCTAGCTGATCCCTCAACAAATTTGCGACTTCCTTGAAGTAGTCTACTTGTACTTTAAAGGGTATCTGAAAAATAATTTCAAGCATTATGAAGCTAGTTAAGCTACAAAGTCCATCCCCTGATATTCCTACTTTTAGACGTCTGAGTTTGGATTAAAAAAAAAAAAAAAAAGGTTAACTGTTAATTTTGATCCCTCAACTTTAAAATTTTACACAATTTTCATTTCTCAACTATTTTAAGTATTTTTTTGGTCTAACAACTTTAAGAAATATTTTTTTATTATTTTATCAGTTAGTCTACTAAATCTATTTATATATACACATTTTTTATCCATGAACCTATAAATTCAAAAACTAAAATATATAACTATAAGTTTAGAGGCTAAAAATATGTATTGTTGAATAAACTTAATTGACTAACTAATAAAAAGATTAAAAAAATATATTTTATAGAGTTAAAGGACTAAAAATGTGTTTAAAATAGTTGAGAGATGAAAACTGTACAAAATCCTAAAGTTGAGGCATTAAAATTGACATTTAACTTAAAAAAAACATACCCCATTCATATTGGTTTCAACTAGAGCGCTTGCTCCAGCGCTGGCAAAGTTTGCTCCAATCGTAAAATTGTTATTATTGGGATCCAAGTAAGGTCTCCACTATGGCAAACCTGCATATATGCGGCTGCAAAAGAAACAGAGCAATTAGCAAAAAGAAAAGATCCGTGCGTCTCTCTCTCCTTTTCTACTACCGCCTTCTTTTCTTCTCTTTTCTCCTTAGCCACAGCCTCTCTCCCCTTTGGTGGCTACAGAGGATGAATAAAATGGGAGTTTCTCCATCCTTGTTTGGCATTCAATAGGTGTGAGACTATTGTTTACTAGATTATTTGCTCTCCTTGAAACTTGACCAAATTTTAATTTTTTAAACGCATACCAAGACTTTTTTTAAAAAAACTTTCATAGCACTACACATCATCGTAGTGATTGTCAAAACAATATCTAAATATAAATAATTCTTTATATTTAATTGTCTTTACTTATTATGAGCATAATTTTCATCTCTGTTCGTGCTATAAATTATAATTTTATCTTGGCTTTAGATGATTCACATGCAATTCATGTTCCATTAATAGAACATCTCTATTTCTTATTAAAAAAAAATCCAGTTTAATTTCAGTTAAAATATCTGCAAAATCAGGAAGAATGCGTCGGTCGCAATGTCTTCCAGTTGGATACCAGAAAAAAGTCTCCCCATATGGTGGGAAATTCGCCTTGGCCTTAGAGGTTTTGAGGAAGTTGTTAATTATTACCAGGATCAAAAACTGAGTCTCGTAACACAAACATGGCAACCTTTTTGTTGGACTGCACTCTCTAGTTGGGTTAATTTATCGCTTTGGGCGTTAATTTGTGAGGGGCGTGAGAATGGCAAAGACAAACAGCAAATGGAAATGAATAGCAACTGACAACGATGGACAGTTGGGTTGTGAGATTCGTGACACTGTTTGTGATTTAACTGCAGTCCTTTTGCATGAAGATCAAAGAGGGACGATATATAGACATATTAGCGGTAATCGTACTCTCGACGTACGTAATAAGTGTCCCCAGCAACGGAACTTCCTTTTTCCGAGACCGATCGGTGGTGGGCTTTAAGCTTTTAACTAATTTTTCCAGCACCAACCAATAGTCCCAGAAAAAAATAGATAAGGTTGAAGCGTTGCTGTACCAAAAAAACAAAAAAAAATGAAGATTGCAGTGTACCGCGGGGGGAGTGCCTCGTGCATCTGTAAGTGAATTTAGTTATTTGTGAGCCACCTAATTTAGATATTTTGATATGGGATAAAGGGGTACGTTGAAAATTGAAAATGGAACGTCGGATGCCTAATTTTCTTCTTCTGCGTTTTCTCATGATTTTAAAATTTGGACTGGACCAATTGATTGAATCAATTGAATGATACTTAAAAACTTAAGCGGATGGGTGAATACTTAAAATCGCTATGAAAGTTGAACTACTCATAATCAATAAAACCATTTAAATTGATACAAACTATTAAACCATGGTTCAAAGTTTTTGAGATTTTCCATAACTTTTACCAGCAAAGCATCACCTTTTGAATCGATATTTTTTGTTTAAAATTTTATTTTTTTTATTTTTAAGAGAAAAAGATTTGAAAATACTATTCACATGGGTCGAACTTCCTTCAATTTTATCAAGTTTCTCCACCTAATGTGAAGAGAAATATTATTGACTTTTATATT